TTTTTGTTTCGATCTGTCACTTAACCACCCAATGCACGTGCTCCTTGGCATGTTATTTCGCTGGCAAAAAAGGCGGCTACTGATGTTCTGTTTGTCGAACGACGCAAGAAACTTTCGCTTCTCGCCGTTGGTGTACGACTTGTGGCAGCTAGGCATGACAGGCAGTACGATACTCTGCTTTCATATGGAATGCACAGCCTCGAGTTTGAACTTTCAAACATTAACCAATCACAGTAGATTTTGTTTCTGCACTGCAATTGGTCAAAAAGTTTGACAATTATGAAGAGATAATGAAGTATACAAGTGGTAGAATTTATTATAACAGGTCATGTTACAGAGGTGGTAGGCTTTTTTTTAGAGTGTTGGCTTTTCCGAGGTTCACTAATCAAGTCGACGCCCCAACGAGGGCCACGCCGATTTTCATGCAGCTAACAAGAGGATTTCGATGGCCAGTGTCGTCTAGCCAACGCAGGCACAGAGATTGCCAACACAGAATTGCCACATCATAATCATGGGAGCGAAAGCGTGTCGTATTCAATATTCGTTGGTCTTGTGCAGCACGATAGATTATATCATGCGCGCGAATGCACCGTCCCCGCCGGGACGTCTACCTGCAGTGTACACCATACTTGATGTCCATTCCGTTCATACTCTTACGTCGCGAACACTTGAGATGCTTTTCATAGCATCGTCGAGCCCTCGGCCATTGATCGCGCTCTCGTTCACCAGCACGGCCGCCACATCTTTGGTGAATGCCATGTACTGTAAATGTTCACGTGGTGGTCACGCCAAACGTTCAGCACTCGGACGCCAACTCGAAGGCATCCGCCATCTCAAACACAAATGTGATCGAGGTCAGATTTCAAACCCCGAACTTACGAAGTTCTGCCACGGCAAAATGTCGATCCCGTGATCATTCCAGACTCGGCATTCGTCGACGACGGGCGGTGTCGCTGCCGCGGCCAGAATTTGTCGGTCTTAAGTCGTTTGCAATCGCCACTTCGAACGCGAGCCCCCAATATTTAATATTCGACATTGCGGAGACATAGATGGCACCGTTGACCGCCTTGGAAACGCTCCACACTTGCCCCGCTTCTTCATTCGCGAGTCCCACCGCTGGTCGAAGTGAAAGCTGCACAACGGGTGATAACCCGACGCTATAATAGGTGGGACCGTCAACAGGTGGCGTTTTCGATTTCTCTACCCAGATCAAGAAGGGCAGATCAAAAACCGGGTGGGTGGGCTAGTACCCGAGGCGAAACCAAACAGCGCTTATATGTGTTGATTGCGACCTCGCCGTCTTCCACATTCTGCTGCTTAAATCGCCTTTGGTATAACACGCTGTTGAGCAGGAGGGAATGTGACTTTAGCGCGTTTCGAATCACGGCCGAGTAGCCGAAACCTATCGTGCGCGAGTTGCTCTTTGGGTTGCATCAGAGAAACTGCAAGGTCATCATGATGCATGTTAAGCAGTTCCGGCGCTTGTGCACGGATACAGTATCAAGCAAAGGTCCGAGTTGGACAAGGTGGCGTTCCTGATGTGCGGCTTGAAGTTGAAGACTCGCGAGGAAGTTGGGTTTTGATAATGCAAGATTCTGAATCCAGCGATGAAAGCAGCCTTGGAGTACGAAAGGGCGCTCGCAGAGTCTTTAGGCTGAAGGGTTCAAGGGAAGCAGGCAGAACCTTAGGCGCCGATTCGGGAAGAACACCACCGATGGCTACCGCAACGACGCGACAACACTACAGGAGTCTGTCGACATGGAGGTCGACAACTTGAACGTGCGAGAAAACTCCAAGAAGAAGGACCGTAGCAAAATCCGTTGCTACAACTGCCAGAAGCTGGGTCACCACTCATCCGAGTGCCAGAAGCCCAAGAAGAAGATCTCAAGTCAGGAGCCACACAGTCGTCACGCGACCTCGGAAGTCCACGAGGAATCGACGACTCATGACGATGTCGCGATGTCGAGAACATCTCCTTCGGACATTTTAAGACTGCAGGCGGCAAAGCAAAGCCTGGGCCTCAGCGTAAAACGATCCGAGGAGAAGATCAACGGTTGATGATTAAGCCAGGAGAAATGAATGGCAATATCGTGAAAGTCATGATCGACAGTGGCGCAACTACTTCACTTTGCCGCGTTGTCATGGGATCTTGTGTTGTGCGTGAGATGACCGTTCGAATTGCGGGGTATGACAATGTGGTCTCGGACCCGACCCGAACGCGCGAAGTTACAGAGACGTTGGTGATGTACAACATGCGGTTCGACAATGTCACGATGACGAAAGGGACCTGAAGGACAAGGACTTTGATGTCGTTTTGGGTCAGGCATGGTTTCGCCAGTACAACCCTGTAATAAATTGGCGAGATCAAATGATCACTCGGTGGAAGAAGAAGTGAAAACGAATGTTCTGATCACGAAGGACTGCGAAGGATGGATTCTTAAGCTGTTTCACGTGGAGACGCAAGTTCAGTCAACACCTACAGAATTTGAAGCAGTGTTGGAAGAGTTGAAGTTGAAGGATGTTTTTCCCGAAGAATTGCCTGATTGGTTGCATCAGAGCGCTCCGTGTAGTTTGATCTCACGTTGAAGCCCAGTGCAAAGCTGCAGAATCGTTCTACTTTCCAATTGGCGAAAGTCGAACAACAGTCGCTCGACAAGTTCGTGGATAACCTGAAGAATAAAGGATGGGTTGAGTTTTCTACGAGTGACAAGGTTTCAAACAACTTTGGCTGTGCCCAAGAATACGAGAACGGGAAGTTTCCCTCACGCCAAGTGTGGCTGAAGACGGCCACAGAAAACACACCAATTCGTTGGGAGATAGACTACCGCCTTGTCAACTCACAGTCCGAAATTCCCAAGATCCCATTGCTTAACATTAAGGATCTCTTTAATACGATGCGTGGCTGCAGTGTCTTTACAAAGATCCTCCGGGTACCATCAAATACTTGTTGAGCCACATGCACGCAAGTATACTGCCATTCGGACGCACAAGGAGATATTGCAATGGTGCGTAGCTCCCATGGGAATGGCGGGGATGTGGTTGAGACTTAAGCGGTCGCTGTTCGACAAATTCTCTTTTGTGGTGGTTTACTTGGACAACATTTGCATCTACTCGACGAGTGTCGGTTAGCATGCGACACATCTGCGTGCTGTTCTCGAAGTTCTGCGATCGGAAAAGCTTTTCGCGCGTCGTGAAAAGTGCGCCTTTGCAATGCCCACGGTTGACTTCTTGGGACACGACTTCGGCTGACGGGCGCGAGGTTGATGCCAGAAAAGCGCGCGCCATTGAGAAGTGGGCGGCGCCTACAACCCGTAAAGAGCTGCTGAGCTTTCTAGGAATGGCTGGATAAGAGAGCGTTTTAGCAAGCCGGGAATTGATGCAAATTCCCGGCTTGTCGAGCACAAAGACACGCAATCTTCGATAGTTGCACACCGGTTATCTGAAAAAAGACGGATGAAACAAAACGAAACACCCGCAGAGGCTGCCCTCGTGAGGTCCGCTGGTCCCCTGCTATTGAAGCTACGCCTTCTGCAGGCTCTCTGGCGTCGAGGGGCAACCCAAGACCGGATACCAATTCCAAGCGTCGAGTTTAACCTCGAAAAATACAACGATGCGGAATGTTTAGCCAAGTTCCGCTTTACCCGTTCTGGCATTCATATTCTTGCATGACGAGTGCGGCCTTAGCCCAAGTTGCAGCAACCTTTCCATGCCCTACTTCGTAAGGACCTCTTTCCCATGGATATGGCGCCACAGATTTTCCCGACTTGGCACGTCGAAGTCGGTTGGGAAAATCAACTCCCCTACTTTCTCCAGGCAATTCACCGACTTGGGCGAACTTCGAAGCATTACAAATTCGAATTTTTAAGTCGGGAA